GGGTCCCCCATGGTCCCGGGGCTCTGGGGGCTCTCCAGGTCCCTGTGTGGCTCTGCAGCCCCGGTGCATTTGGAGCTCACAAGGTCCCACGCCTGCAGCACCAGGGCTCTGAGACCTCATCAGGGCTCTGCAGCCCTGGGGCTCTGGGATCTCACAAGATCTCCGTGTGTCCCTGCAGCTCTGGGGCTCTGGGATCTCTCTGGGTCCCTGTGTGCCCGTGCAGCCCCAGGGCTTTCAGGTCTCACTAGGTCCCTGTGTGTCCCCACAGCCCCAGAGCTCTGGGATCTCCCTGGAGCCTTGTGTGTCCCTGCAGACTTGGGGCCTTCCAGCCTTGCACCATTTCTGGGCTAGGATCTCCCTTTTTCTCCACCTTTCTGCTTCTCTTCATGTCTTTCAAAGGTTAGGCAGACTGGCCAGTGCTAGCATGACTTGATGTCTTCCGGAGGCTTAACACCTTTTTGCTCTGGTCCTGGGAAGATCTTTGGCTCCCAGCCACAATCTGCTAATGCTGCGTAGCAGGCTGTAATCCTTCCTCACTGCTCCAGCTGGGTTTCTCCAGGCCAGGAAACTCCCAGCCCATCTTTAGCTTTTCCTCCTAACTCTCCTGTTCATTTCCCAGGAGATAAAAACTGGTGGAACGAGAAGGATCTGAGTGGAGCCTACCCCGCAGTTCACATAAATCCAAAGCGTAACCATTTTCGGTTAGGAAAAACATTTTTCATTTCAATTTGAAAACCCTTTCAAAGCCTGTTCTCAGAGGAGAGGGAGTGGTCGCTGCAGAGGGGATTGGCTGCTCTTCTCTGGCTCTAGAGAGGTTTTTCTCTTCCCCTCACTGACAACTCGTCCTGCTGAGGTGTCTGAGCTCGTTGATGGAGCTGTGAACACCTGTGCATGAAGCCCAGCAACACAGTTCAGAGGATCCTGCAACTCCCTCTGTGTAAACCACACTTTCCTGCTCCTATCCTCATATCTGGGCATGATGCCCCTGATGTGCATTTCCATGCACAGGTAACCCAGAAGGAAAATGGCCCACAGGAGCGCTAGCAGGTCCCGCTGAGCGTTTAATTGCTAGTGGGGAGTCTCAGTTGGATGGGAAAGTGCAGCAGCTCTCCCATGCCTAAACACTTCCCTGCAAGTTCAAAGGGGCAACTTTTTCTATAGTCTGCAGAGAAACTGCCCCAACAGCTCATGGAGCTGGTGGCGGTGGGATGTGCGGGGTCTTGAGGAGCTGGTGGCAGGGCTGTCTGCCATGTCATCCCCCATTGCCCATGCACAAAGCGTGGCTCGACAGTGCCACCAAGTGGAGGATGCTGTGTGATCACAGCAGATGGACATGTCTTGGCAGTGCCCCAGGACTGGTACAGGGACTGTGCTGGGAGAACATCTCAAACAGAAGGGTGCAGCCTCATGAAATGCAAGCCCTTCTTCTGAAGCAGAGCAGCACTAGCAAGGACATAGCACCTCCCTGGGAAATTTAACTTCATGCCAGCTAGGGAGTAATCAACAGCTCCTGGAATGCCATGGCTAATGAAAGCCAGCATTTCACTAAAACATAGTATGATGAGCAGGGCTGTGCCACTAGCCCCAGGGTGTGAGTTAAACCTGCCTCAACTGCAAGGCCGGGAAGGCATCTGCAATGGGATGGCACCCAGACCCCAGCCAGCTCCCTACTAACAGATACACGTGCAAAATTAGCCATTACAGAATCACAGAGTCCATCTTCTTCAGGCTCAGGTCTTGCTAGGGGGGAACAGGTCTGGCAACTCCAGAGAAGCGTGTGGCACTTCCGGCCTCCCCATTGCTGAGCTCTCTGTCATGATTTTGCACTTTCTCTGCCTGCAGCAGAGAGTGGTAAGGTATCATGCAGGAAGGAAGGGGCTGCTGTACAGCAGGGACACCCTGTGAAACTGTTGTCAGAGAGCTCCTGAGATAGCCATTACCAAGCCAGGTACGCAAGGCTATTCCAGCTACTGTATGTTTGATAGTCAATGCTCACAAAGAAAAGTGAAACGATGTGTGACAGATGCAAGGTAACATTAACATGCTGCTTTACATTCACTGCAGTCACCTCCTGCTCTCTCTCTCTGTGTGCAGGCTCCCAGCAGAGGAAAGGTTGGAGGATGCTGGTGCAGCCCAGAGAGGAGTGCTTCTGGCTCCCAAACTCTGTTGCTAACTGGCAACAGATAACAGAAGAGGCTGCTGAGGCTGGAGACAACGGGGATCCTTCCCTGTGATACTAACCCCTCCTGAAGGAAGGCAAAAGGGGAACTTCTTTGGCGGCCAGGGAGATACCATGGATCCCAGGCAGGGTGCCCACCCCAACACAGAGCTAATGGGCAGTTCCACCAGCCCGGGAAGGGACATTTCTTGTACTAGTGAAGTCCAAGTCAAGCTAATCAGCTGCTGCATTGGCCAATTCAATGTTTATCTTCCTGCT